AATGAATCACAAGATTAATGACTCACAACTCTAAGTAACACAATTCTGGAGGGGAGGGACTTTCTGCCTATAAGGGGTACTATGCTAAAATCTTAAATATGAAGTTTGTATGGCAAGACAAGTCAGTCTATTTTTGCCCTGTTTTATAAGTCAAACAAATTCTATTAAATTATGCAGCATTTCAGAGTCATGAATCCTTCCTAAAGGAGAATCTATCTGAATATATTTAGAGCTGGGAAAGTTAGCATTAATAACATCACATCTAAGAAACACAGTATGGGTTCAGAGTATATTCTCCTTCGTCTTCTAGCTGCTCTTTCTGAATCCCTTTGTACAAGTAGTATTTTGCTTCTGATGAAGTATTTTGCTTTAGGTCAATTATTTTCCTTCTAAACACAACATATCACTGGAGGTGTCTGATCCTACTTCATCCTCAACTTCAATGCCTGGCAGTTCACGGGTAGAGCATGTACTTCTCTTTTATTGAGGGGAAGTTGTGACTCAGTTCCTGCCAACATACTTTATGAAAAAGCTGTGCATCTATCATACTTAGTCTGAATGTTTGAAAATAAAAAAGAGAAAGACATTATTTCAGATACATCTGTCTATCAGAGAGCCAATTAATGTTTTTGTGGTAGCATACTGCATTCAACAAATTGTGCCTCTCTTGAAATGTAATTAGCAATATTTGTATATGAGAAATAATGTCTTTTTCAGGAAAATAAAATTTGTCTTAAAGATGAATTACCATTAGGGCTCATAAGCATTATGTAGGAAGGGTAACAATTGGTTCAAAGAATTGTATAGGAGAACTGTCAAAAGAAGGGGGTTCAGTGGTAAGAGAAAGGCACAGGCTGACAAAACAGGGCAGTCAGCACTTTCTTGGGCAAACTGAGAGTTGGGCACTAACCTTCCATCATGAGCAGGATAGAGACATTATTCCTCAGACTGAGGGATTCACAAAATCACTGACTGAACAAGGAAAGGCTTATCACAGGAAGGGCTATCTCTGCAATCCTATACTTCTTTTTTCTTTTTTTTTTTAGATTTTATTTATGTATTTCTACATAGAAGAACTGGGATCTGGGACAGAGGTGCAGGGGTGGGGGGTGCGTAGGATTCACCAGAGACAGAATGGGGAACAGAACAGGCAGACGGACCGAAAGCACTGCTGAGGGAAGCAGCAGGTAAGTCAGGAGAGGTCTGCTGTGCCATATGTGGGTCAGCTCCCTGGCCAAGAATCAAATTTGGGCCTTTGAACTCAGGCCTTTGTGGTACAAGTACTGAGACTTAACCCTAAACCATCAGGGAGCCCCCCCCAACCCTACAATTTTTAAGCAGCATCAGAGCAGGAATTGAACCAAGTCATTTCATTGCAGGGTCTTGGTCTTTGGGGCAGGCAATATTTAAAAAAAAATTATGAATATAGGAAGGAAAGATTAGATGGGCATATATAAACCTATCTCTATGTTGCTCAAAAGATTTCAGTGGCTTTTAATGACACTTGTTTTAAACTTCAAAGTCCTAGGATTTCCATCACAGCCTAAATGAGGGGGAGGAAAAAGGAGCTACACTGGAGCCAAGGTAATGCATGTTACAAGAAATAAGTTAATGCTATTCTGTAATAGATTGTCATAACATAAGATGCATATTGTAATCTCTAGAGCAACCACTAAAAATAAGTCAAATTTATATAGTTAAAAAAATCAACAGAAGAATAAATTGTTACAATAAAAATATTTAATACAAAATGAGGCAATAAAGAAGTCACAGAGGAGCAACAAAGACACAAGACAAATTGAAAACAAATAATGAAATGGTAGATATAAATTCAACAGTATAAATTAACTAAAAAGACAGATATTCTTAGAATGAGTGAAAATCCAAGACTAAACTACATGATGTTTTCAAGACACACCATATTTTCAAAAGCACAAATAACCTGAAAGTAAAATAATGGCTATATATGCTATGTGATGTATGTGTTTGTATGTGTGTGTGTGTGTATCAAACACCATCCATAGAAGAATTAGCTATGTTAATATAAGATGAATTAACTTCACAAATAGTGACATTTTATAATGACAGGATACACCCATATAGAAGATATAATTTTACATTCCTAACAACAGAGTACAAAATATTTCAACCAAAAACTTAGAATATTAAAAGTAGATATAGGACCTCCCCTGGAAGAACAGCAGTTGAGTGCTGGGCTGTGAAGCTGCCCGCAGCCTCTGCAGTGCCAGTTCGATCCCCAGCCACCAGCAAGGGTCCCACATGGCGCGCAGACCTCTCCTGCCGCCCGCTGCTCTCCTCAGCAGTGTATTTCATCATTCTGCCTGCTCTGCTCTCCCCTCTGACTCTGGTGAATTCTCTCACCTTCCCGTGCTTCTGACTGTACCCAGTGCTTGTATAAATAAATAAATAAATAAATAAATAAATAAATAAATAAATAAACAAACAAATAAATAAATAAATAAATAAATAAATCTTTTTTAAAAATTAAAAAAAAAATAAAAGTAGATATAGGAAATTCATCAATAACTCTCAACTTTCTACTCTAAATAGTTTATAAAATGAGGCAAACATCAGTAATTATACAGAAGACTTGGATATTACCAAGCAAGCTGGCAAACTGCAATAATGATTTTTTTTTTAATAATTCTCCCCAAATCTTAAGGCTACATTTTCTTTTTATTGTATATGATTTTTTTTTGATGATTTTTTTCTGGATAACAAGTTGGATTTGTTTTTAAAGACTGAAATCATATATAATGTTTTCTGACACATCAGATTTAGAAATATCTTCAAAAGAAGGAATTTAGTAAAATTATATGATTTTATTCTGATTTCAAGAAGAAAATCCCTGTATTTGTGTGCACAACCTAGCATACCAATTTGCTGAAGCAGGATATTGATGTCACCTTAATAGAATACCATAGGGTAAAGCTGAGAAGCTAAGATCCTTAGAAAAAAATAGAAGCAATTATTACACATAATAATGTGGAAAGACTCAGTGCCTAATTTTGAAATTTCAAGCATCAAGGAATATTGTGTCAAAGTTCTTTCCCTGAACTTCCACACTCAAAATTTTCCTTCATGTGCTCTTGACCCCTTTGCAATTCTATAAATTCTACAGAGAACATTAAACTATATCACAAGATTTTTGACTGGAATACTATAAATTTAGGAGACGTTTCTCTCTAACCAGTGCTTCCAGTCCTATTGATTTATAATCACATCATAATGATAAGGACTTAAAAGATTTTTCAAAAGATCCAACATATCTCAAAACTTATTGGCAAGATGTTTGGCTGCTTATTTTTTAAAATAGGTAAAAAATAAAAACTGAAATTGAAAATTAGAAAACTGTTAGGCAGGTGTTTAATATTTGAAAATTTCAAAATAAAATATGTACATATGAGGAAAAAGTTACTACAGCAAGCCTGTTTTACTATGCTTTCATTTGTTCTTGTAGGTGCTATGATTACTGTTGGTCAAATATGGACAGCTGAACAAGTAGAATTTCCCCATAGTTATTGTGGGAGGGGATGCTTTTCTAGCCAGCAAAATCAGTGCAGATTCTTAGCATGTTCACAAAACATAAAGGTTCAAGGTATGGGTCTAAAGCCTGAGGTTTGTCACATGGCAAATATGTGATCAGCAACCTTTAAAAACTTTAAATTCCAAGACTAAGTGGAATTTCTTGGGCAAGGAGATGATGTACCTGTGGACAGACAAGAAAACCTGCATTTGACCATACTAACTTTTTCCTACATGTGTCTTTTTATGGATATTTCTACAGTATGGCGTAGCCATAGTAAATACAAGTCATGAGTAGGACTTCATATTGAGTGATATGAGTGCTTTCAGTGGCCACAGGAACAATGAGACAGCACATTTCATGACAATTTTATAAATTAAATTATAATCAGATTGATGTATGAAAAAATAGTCTATGAATTTATTCATAATTATTCTATTTTTTTCAATGTAATTAATAAAACAGTCATGTAAGGTACTTGGATATGGAGAGTAGAATGGGGTTTTTCACATTATGGGGAGAGAGTCATGTTCTATAATGAACAGAGTTTCAATTTTGCAAGACAAAAAAAATTCTATAACTGTGTGGTGATGATGTAGTGCAACAATGTGAATGAACATAATGTCATTGAGATGCTGAGATACACAATAAACCTTTTGAATAGTAAGTTTTATATCAAGTATGTTTGAAAATCTCAATTTTAACAAATAATTTATAATTACAATAACAATATTTTAATATTTTGGTGCTTAAAGTTGGTTGGAATCACTCAATAAAATATTTACTTCCCTAGAGTTTAATCCCTTATACCTCAATTTCATTAACAACCAAGTTTCCATATGTTAAAGTGTTTGAACAAATTAAAAATTCCAGGGAAAGACTATTAGACTTAACCTTCCCTAATGCTACTGTTTCTTCACTGTTTTAGTCTTTATTTTTTTCCTGAGGATGCTCTCTACTGCCAAAAACTGCAATGTGTCCCTATGAGGCCTGAGGGATATATTTAAAGTCCATATCTCTTTGTCTTTTAAATATTTATTTTGACTCTTCAAAGTCAATATATGTAAGTCAATCCCGATACTCCAGTCTTTAAGACCTTTCATCATCTGACCAAAGACCACACATTTCCCCTTGTGCAATATACTGTATTTCAGGTTCTGAACCTCTCACTCTTACTCAAGCATGTCATTCTCTTTTATATTATTAACACTTCCTTTGAATTACTTTTCCCTCCATTGATGATGTAAAAGAAGTTAATAATTAACAGGTATATTTATGATCCAAGATCTACTTCAATTGTCACCTTCTCAATGAAGCTGCCCTCGAGAGTCCTCCAGAATTGGTACTTATTTACACACTGTCTTCCAAGAGCACTCTTTTTACATAGTATTGTAAAATCTCAATAATTATTCTTTTTTTGTCCCTTACAGAGAAAAAAATTTAACTTTCTTACCAGGTTAATGTCAGTCTTGGTCGTGTAATTTGGTCTTGCCAGTGAAATATGAGTAGAATTGGCATGTGTATCTCCTAGGCAGAAAATTTGAAGTCAGAAATATTTCACAGAAGTACTATTCCTTAGGCTTTGAGTTCTACAGTGAAGATGAGATAGAGGAGAATCACAGTCCATGTACAATGGCAAGTTTAGTTATTATAAAACATGATGATCTGGGGGTCATTTGTTATCACACAGATTGTTATTCTTACTAACAATATTGTTTTATTAATTTGTCTATAAAGCTGGCTCTTCCCACTAAACCATGAGCCTCAGCATATCAGAAATTACTATTTATCTTTGTTATTTCAGTGCCTAAAAGTTTGCTCAATTCACAGATGATCCATACATTTTTTTTTGTATAAATGGACCAATAGATGAAAGAAGAGATAAAGCTTTGAAGGTACTCCAGTCATTATTGTTCTGCTCAATTATGTGCAGTTATTTTTCACTGCATCAGAAATGTTGCTTACTCAGTATTCATATATATGAGTGTTTTCATCAACTGGTTTGTTGGGTTAATGATTTGGTTATTCCTTGAAGAGACAGTGATTTAACCTAATAGAGATCAAAGCTTACTTATGTTGTCTGAATTTAGATTAGGTAAGTATTGCACCTTTCTAGTGAGTGTTTCACCATTTTGTTTATGGAGTGTGAAATATATAGCCTTGTGCTGTTTCTGCACCTTTCATCCAAGCATAGCCAACAATATACTGTACGCCCCATTTCTGCTAACCTTGGCAAATTAGCAGAGATATTTGGGTAATCAGGCAGTTGAGTGTTTGTGTAGTTTATCACTTTTTATGAAAAGGGAAATGTGTTAAGGAGGATTAAACAGAATCATAACTATCAGTCTCTTATATTTAGAATATTGCTGTAGTAAAATGAGGAAAACTAAAAGTGATGCCAAGTACTTCATTAAAATATACTGAATTCCATTAGTAAGGTAATACGACAAAACCAAAACTACAGTTCATTTTGTTTTCTTATCAGTGAGAGAACATTTGTTTCCCTTTTGCCTTTATATTTGGGAGCATAAGTCCACCTTTAATTCTGTGTGACTAGCTATCTGTGTATTTTTTTTAGCTAAGGTTGCAGTCCTTTGAGAAAAATGTTGACAGCTTTGAACTGACAAAGAATCATTATAATCAGTGTTGAAGATATGAAATCACAATGAGAAAGAATTCATGTTTACAGTAGCAGGGACCACACACTGTGATAGTTTGCATTAGAAACTCAGCAGGTGTAGTATGCAAAACTGAATCACAATAGTGGATTTGAAGACCTTAGAATATGAAAAGGTCATTTTTGTTCAACTACCTATTTACTGTGTTAAAATAAAAATAAACGTATTTCCATCAAATTCTGTAGAAGATAACAAATTGTGAACATATTAACTCAGAGGTTTCATAGTTTTTTATGAAAAATTATATTATTTACCTTAATGTCAACAGCATTTGAGGGTAGAAACAAAAGAAGTTGATTACAAGTGTTATAGAGGGTATTGTACATGTTAACAAAAGAAAAACATGCTGATAAACGGCAGCTCCTAAATATGTTAGAAAACAAAATCACTCCTAAATTCTTCAGTTGTTAAATAGTGGGCTGAGCTATAGAAATGAAGATGTGGCAAAGTATTAAAATAGAGTATAAAACTGGGAAACTGGGTGTATAAGTGTGTCAAATCTCTGGCACTAGGGCACAATGCCTGTAATGGCATCATTGTACCTCAAACTCTTGACACATGGCATGCAGAAGGTGGTCAAACAAGGAAATTTAGCCATCCTTAAAAAGTAACAAGTAAATGAATTTTCATTCTTAGAAACTTCTTATTCAACTCTGTTTTGAATCTGTTTGACATCTTAGTATTTCTCTTTCTTGCCTTTCACTCATTTATTCTTCATCAATGATTCATAAAACACCTGTTCTTTCTAGGCACCAGAGAATCATGGAGGTATAGAATGCCGTCTCTCCTTTTGAGGAATGACAAACTAATGGAAGTGATGATCATATAAACATAACTACAGTGATGTCATTAGAGAAACAGGAGTCACAAAGGAGAAATCATCTATCTCCGCCTGAGCTGGCAAAGATTCACTGACACGCTGGCATAGTCACTGAGCTTGTTTCTATGGGTACTTGTTTACCAGGTAAATAAATGGATTGTTTCCAGCAGAGAGAACATCATATAAAAATGCATAGAGAATGCAGTAACACTAAACCAAGATGGGTTTCCAAAGTATATGATAAAATGGCTAAATGGAAACAGAAAAGTGGACAGAATCCAGATGACTTTATGCTGAGGAGTTTGGGTTTATCTTATTTAATGAAGAGAAATAGGATATTAAACAGGAAAACAATATTAACAGGCTTGACTATTTTTGAGAATTTGGAAAATTTTCAGAGGAAACTAAGCAGATAGAAAGATCACTAACCACCAAATAACTCTCATTTTTTTCTCACTGTTAATATTTGCACCCTTGAATATACTTTTAAGATATTCAATTTAAATAAATTAATTTTCACTGTTAAAAAAAGATATTCAATTTCCTCTTCTGTCTTGGCCACCAACAAGTCATCAGGATATAAGAAGACAGAAAAATCTAGGGGCCACCTGAGCCCTGGCCACGATCACATTGTTAAGCACCAGAAGTTCCCAACAGGCTACGGCAATGCTAGTGACAGGAATCCCACAGGATAAACTTTGACAAATATCACTTAGTTTTCTTTGGAAAAGTTGGTATGAGTAATTACCTCTTAAAAAGGAACCAGAGCTTCTACCCATTTATCAAGGTCGAGAAACTGTGCCTTGGTCAGTGTGCAGGCTTGGGTAAGCGTTGCCAAAAAACAGACAGGAGTTGCTTCAATCATTGATGTGACACAATAGAGCAACTACAAAGGTCTGGGGAATGGAAAGTTCCCCAACAGCCTGTGATTATGAAGGCCAAATTCTTCAATAGAAGAGCTGAAGAGAAGATGAAGAGAGAGTGTGGGAGTGGGGTGGGGGACAGTCTGTGTCCTGGTAATTTGAAGCCACATGGAAGAAGTTTCTTTTAAATGCTTTTCAAAAAAAAAAATCAATTTAAAGTTCAATTGCCTAACACCAGCTTGAAAGTATTATAATACTTCCAATAATACAGCCATTGTAATAATGTCATAATGTCAGGTCAAACTAAAACTAAGTGAAATTTCTACTACAAATATTTTGGAAATATGGTCATTTTTCACCAATTTGAGGTAACTCGCATCCAAAAAACACTCTCAGTGGTTAGGTTAGATTATCTGTTAGATAACTAATTTCCCCATTCTTGGTGGAGAGATAAAAAGGTGCTGTGGGATAATGGTCTTGAATTATTCCTAGTACATAAACTCTCCACTCGACTATGACCAAAAAGTTACATGCTACTCTATAGTCTTAGACACTCAGAAATCTTTTGCCATCATCTATCTTGTAACTCTTGCTTTGGATCAGTCTTTATATCAAATTCAGAGTATTTTCATTATTAGTACTAGGTAGACTCCAAAGTCTTTGCAGAATATAACAATACATTAATATGTAATACTTGGAATATGTCACTACTCAAAAAGATTCCTGAATATTACAAAGTAGTCCCTCATGGGGTTTGGTGGCCCTTAAAAGTATAAAAACAACTAATTTCCTTTTACCTGAAATGATAATAAATTAATTGTACTTACAAAAGCATTTACTTAGAAATTACAGTTGATCCTTCAACCATATGGAGGTTTGAGGCACCAAGCTGCAAACTGTAGAATTTTTTTTTATTTTAATATTTTATATAATTCTTACATCATTTTTCATCTTTTGCACAATGCATGCAGTTTCATTATGGTTATATTCCCCATACAATCACACCCCCCCTTATTTTTCTAGTCCTTCCTCTCCCTGCCCCTTTCCCCTCGTAGTGTGTCTCTGGTTTATAGTTGCTTGGTGATTTTTATTTTTACTTCTTTTTTCCTGGCCTCTTATTTAAGTTTTTTAAATTCCTGCTATGAATGAGACCATCCGCTATTTTTCTTTTTCTTTCTGACTTATTTCTCTGAGCATGATCCCTTCTAGCTCCATCCATTTTAAACTGGTCCAACCACTATGGAGAGCTGTGTGGAGATTTCTTGACCTACTAAACATAGAGCCTCCATATGATCCAGCAATTCCACTCCTAGGTATTTACCCAAATGACACAGAAACATTAATTTCAAAGGTACCTGCACCCCTATGTTTATAGCAGCACTATTTACAATAGCTAAGCTATGGAAACAACCCAAATGCCCAAAAATAGATGACCGGATCAAGAAGATGTGGTACATACACACAATGAAATATTACCATAAGAAATATTTTTATGACTTCTTGTTGATCCTCCTTCTCTGTGTGTTCAGAATCATTGAATTCAACCAATGGGTTGGTAGAATCTATGAGTGTGCAACACACAGCCCATGGCTAGAAAAATAATTCACCTATGAATGGATTCATGCATTTTAAAATCTTATTGTTTAGAGTCGTTTGTAGTTGTATAAAGGTAAGGTATTTGAGAATCTTCACTACGGTCTGATATAACAGTGAAATCAGCATGGTCTTAATTCAAAAAATAACTTTGTCAAGCAAAATGGATTGGAAAGAAGTAGCTTATTTTATGATAAAATATTTTTTTCTAGTCAAAGAAAAATGGCCTTAGTGACAAATCCAACCTTAAATTACTAGTTGGATTTTAAAACAATGCTCCAGTTGCCTGTTGTTGATTTTATAATGCCATTTAATCATTATATATTTAGTGTCATCCACTGAAAGAAGCTACACTGACTAAATTAGAACTATAAATATACTACTATTCTAGTGTTTCTCTTTGTGTATAATGTATGATATCACAGTTAGCCTCTTTTGCTCGTTAGTGAGTCGAAGTTATCATTCTGGCTATTTTTCTAGAAATTACAATATTCCCTTAGATACTCAACTGTAAACTCTCCTTAACCTTACCTACTGGATATCAGGTAATTTACTCTCCTAGACCAATG